GTGTATACGTAAACACTTGTGTTAGCGTCAGTATTGTTATGTAAAAGTGAAATTTCTAGAAAGCCTCCACACGCCTATAAATATAGCCAACTCGATGTGCCAAAGAGAGAGTAATTATTAGTTTGCTATAGTCAGTGTGCTATAAACTTCGGAAGCTATAACTGTGATTGTTATAACGCTTAGCAATTGGAAAACTTCAGATATTTGACCAGGAACCTTTACAAAGCTCGAACATTACAAATCATTTAACTTTAGTGGATTCTCATCGGACATTAGTATTTTTATGAAAACATTATATAAATTTATCGGGGGAAACTCGGCGTGTGTGGCTGGTAAATAACGAAGGACAAAGCTAGCTAGCTCCCTGTTAAGTGAATTATACCTATGTTAATTCGTAATCAACTCGTCATTGTAAAACCTTGATAAGATATGGAAGAAGTTCCAGACTAAAAGGAAGACTTTATATTGCTTGTAAGTTTGTAAAACTTTTGTTTATAAATCATTGTTTGTAATAGCTATTTGTAATAACTGTTATTGTAAATTGTATTGTTGTGTGTATATTAAAATGTATTTGTGTTAAAAAAGAAAACTGTGTGTATCTATCTTGTTGACAAATATCATATATCGGCTATAACTTAACTACTAAATCCAAAGTACAATTTAACTACTAAATCTAAATTTATCAATTAACTCAATTTCAGGCTATTTGAAATTGTAGTACATAACAACATGAAGACAGAAGTTGGAGAGGGGGAGAAGGGGTGATGTTATCAAAGATGATGAGGTCATAGTTCCATTTTTTTGCCACCAGAGAGATGCGTTGCCAGGCTGCCATGATGTCGTAGTTCAACAAAGTGTCGCCAGAGGGCGCAACTAATTTATGGAGGGCTGAAATTATAGTTCGATACCAGACAGGCGACCATAATGGATAATTACATAATAGTACCACAAAGTAGAGATCATGTTTTTTTGTAATCATGCACAAAGCTACGCAAAGGTTATCTGTGCTCTGCCCACCACGGGTATCGAAACCCAGTTTCTAGCGTTGTAAGTCCGCAGACATACAACTGTGCCACAGGGGGCAGAGAACATGTTTCTAGGCAGCCATGACTCATACAATACATGTCTCAACAATAATATAATTAATCACTAATTCGATAGTTAATTAAATCATCATAAAAAGGACACATAACAGTAATTCATTAAATCACTTACAATTAATTAATCATTTTATAATTAATTCATAAATCATTTATAATTAATTCATTAAATCAAAGTTAATTAATGCATCCTAAAAAGGATTAAATCTAATCAGTTAATCCTAAAAATGACACTGAATGCTAATTCATTAGTTAATAATTAAATCATCCTACCACAAAGTAGAGAACATGTTTCTAAGCCACCATGACAGGCGGCCATGACTCATACAATACAAGTCTCAACAAGAATATATATAATCACTAATTCGATAGATAATTAAATCAATTATAATTAATTTGTCCTAAAAATGATGTTTAGCATTTATTAATTAAATCATCACAAAATGACACTTAAAGCTGATTCATCAGGTATTGTGGAAGAAAGCGTTACAAGTGATCACATGCTGTCACAATCCTTTCTTAAGTGTGAAGCTAGTCAGTTTGTTAGTATTGTGAAGGTATAATAATGTATTCTATACCTTCAAAAATTTTCTATGCATTTGGAGGTGATCAATGGCTATTTAGAAAGTAGACGAATACAGTAAGTCAATCATTTATTATTTTTATTACAGATGTTCAAATATGTAAAATAAAACTTTTAACATATTAAATTTAGACTTGATGACTTGTAGAAGTACTGTCACAGTATATTTATCAAAATCTTACATTAATAATGTTAATTAAGGATATGTGAAAGTCCATCTTTTTAATACGTGTGTAAATTATCTTGTTGCATAAAGTGAAATTAGTAAACGTTTTATTGCATAATAAACGATGTAAACTGTTGTATAAAGTTGCAGGAAAGTCAACAACAGTGGCAAGAAGTACAGATGGAAAAAATTACTAAATTTCAAAGTGAATTAAATACATTAAAGGAAGATTCACTGTCCTTTACACAGGGAGGATATATTAACCATGGACTTAATCAGCCCCAGACAAGAGGAAACCCCTTCCAGATACCGCAGCTAAACCCTAATGCAGACATCTTCAGTCCTGCCAGAAGTCACACTCAAGACATTAGTGTCAGTAATAGGGGTGATCTAGTATGAAGGAAGC